GCCTTTCCAAAATAGACTCGGAACTTTTGCACTGCTAACAGAACTGCAAGTGCCTCTCTCTCGGTCGCGGAATAGTTTCTTTGTGTTTGATTTAAAGTTCGGCTAAAAAATGCCACGGGCTGCTGATTTTGCGAAAGTACCGCTCCTACCGCATAATCCGAAGCATCCGCTGAAATTTCTAAATTCTCATCCTTTTCAGGAAATTTCAACACAGGGGCTTGCGTTAATGCTTGTTTTAATTTTTCGAAAGCACTATTGGCTTCGGCCGTCCACGAGAATCTTGCCTTTTTCCTTTTTAATTTTAACAATGGCTCAGCGATAGCCGCAAAATCTTTTATAAAGGACCTATAATATGAACAAAGTCCTAGAAAAGAAGAGAGCTTCTTTGCCGTGTTTGGAGTCGGATACTTTTGTACAGCGATTATTTTTGATTCATCTGTCTCGATCCCTTTCTGAGATATTTTGTAACCTAAATATTTTAATTCAGGGGCTGCAAATTTGCACTTTTCGACATTAACTTTTAGACCGGCCTCATTTAATAAAGAAAACACCTGTCTTAAATCCTGTACATGTTGGTCGAGATTATCACTAGTAATAATGATATCGTCTAAATAGATAAATGTGGACTTTCCAAGAACAGGTCTTAACACAATGTCCATGCATCGCTGAAATGTTGCCGGGGGGCCCCTGAAAGGCCAAACGGCATACGCAAAAATGCATAAGTGCCAGACTTGGTTATAAAAGCAGTCTTAGGCACGTCCTCAGGCCTAATCCCCTATTTGAAAATAACCAGTCGTTAAGTCTAAAGTCGTCATAAATTTGGTTGATTTTATGTTCCTTAAAATTTCTTCTAATAATCGGTAACGGATATACCGGATATTTAGTTATGGAGTTTAATTTACGGTAGTCAATAGCGAATCTCCACCTTTTTGGATGCTCCAAAGGATAGTCATTATTTTTCTTACATAAAACCACCGGGCTAGCATAACTACTTGAGATGGGCGTTATGATCTTTTTACGTAGCATATCGGTAATATGCCATTCTATAATTTTTTCCTTATTCTTATCATACCGGTATGGTTTTTGGCGAACTGGCAATTGCAATCTCCGGTGTCAATACTATGGTTAGTAACCTGAGTAAATCCTGGAATATCACTAAATAACGAAGCAAATTCACTTACCACTTGTCGGATTCTTCTTGCTCGTCATTAGGCAGGTGGTCAAGATTTAACCTCGGCGGTTCAGCCTTTTCTACACGAACTGGTTTCATTGTCAGCTTAAGAGGACGCTTCATTAAAATCCAGCGTTGCTTGTGCCTCTGAAAGAAAATCTATTCCTAAGTATTAAGTGTGCTTGCAGATTCTTTACTATAAAAACATCACCTTTACTTGTTCGTCCTTGATACGGATGTACAAAGGTACTTTACCTACGCACTTACATTGTTTCTCCTTGCGCCGCTAACACTGTCGTATTATCCGCAATTATATATGCGGTATTTGCCGAAAATACTTTCCTAAAAAAATCTTCTGCCACACAGGAACACTGCGCGCCTGTATCCAGGAGTGCGGTGGCTGGGATATTATTTACCAACTTCAATCTTCGGAAGAGTCAAATTTTTCACCATTACTGTATTTAACTTGTAGGAAGAGGGGTTTTCGTGGCCTTCGGATTTCCGCACCCTCTCGTCAGCAGAAATCCGTTTTAGTTTAAATTATTTTTCATTTCCGTGCTTTCCTTCTTTTTCCACTGGCCTTGAGACTTTTTTCCTGGATTGCTATTGAACTGTCGACGTTCGCCGGCTGTTTTTTGAATGCTCGGGTTTCCTTGCCCACTGATTCGCTTTGCTTCCGTAGCCGTGTGCTTGAGTTTGCTGTAGTCTTGGCGTACCAAATTGGTTTCGCTGTTGATATTGGCGTCTTCTTTCGAATGTCCGCCGTTCTTCTACTTTCAAACTGGATTGCTAGCTCAAATAATTTTTCCAGTGTAGTCGGATTTCTTAATTCAATAAAGTCTTGCACTTGGGGCAGTAACCTCGGCAAAATCACTTGAATTATCTTCAGGATCCGGACGGTTTTCCATACAAGAGCTTTGAAAACGTGAATTTTTCTTAAAATAAAGCTTGAGAGGTTTTCGATTCTTTGTTGATATATACTGAAAAGTTCCGTTTCTAATTTCGCACGATCCCTTACAACAGGGAAGGCTTTTAGTAGGGCAGTCTTGAAATTTTCGTAAGTATAGGTGGGACTTCCTGCTTGACCCAAGAGACTTCTGCCTATACATTTGAACCAGTTAAGCGCTTGGCCCCTCAAAGCGCTGGTAGCTAAGGTAACTTTTTGAAACTCGTGCACGGGGTAGAGCATGAAGTGGTCATCCAATTTTTCCAAAAAACTGGTTACCGGTGAGTTTCCATTAAATGTTGCTTCTGGTTTCATCGAAGCGCGCATGGTCTGGACGATGTAACCAAATCCTTCCAGGGCGGCAGCTGGCATTTCTGGATTCTGAGCCGTTTCTGCAGGCAGCACAGGTTCTTCTTGAAACTCGGCCATGGTTATTCTTCGTTGGGCGCCACTATCAGGTTCAATGTTTCTTCTTACCTTCTTCGGAAACATACAAGGACCTGACTCGGAACAGAGAGCTTACTAAAGCTATGTTCACTAATTGTGGTAAGTAGACAGGATACAGACGAAGGGTATACAAAACCCTTTATTTTTATTTTTTCTTTATATACAATGACTTCCGTACTTCGGAATACAATGACCCTCCACTCGGGGTCTAACGTAAAAGATATCAAAAATAAAACTAAACTCTAATTTAACTTTAGAATAAGATTGGCCTTATAATTAACAGGAAGCCGTATGTAGTACAGAGAGACTGTGAACACACTACAATACGTTTAAAATTTATCAAGAGGATTAAAACCTCTGGCCTGGAAGGCAAAGTAGCAACTGCGTAAAACTTCTAAGGTAAGCGGCCTGCTTCGACTCAACTCTTCCTCTCTTCTGCTTGGCAAAAAGGCCACAACTTAAATACTTGGCGTTCGCCAGACAAACTTTGCATAAACTCCTTCAACGCTTATAATTCTGGCCGGAAGTAGAAAATAAGAAGTGATAGTAAAGATTTAAAATAAAATAACGTAAAACTTAAGATCCTACCATCTATTCTTTCCTTCAAATTGTACATCTATCAATCAGCCAATGGATATTTACAATCCTGCAAGTGCTGAAATGCATATCTAAAATAACTCTTCTAAAATTTATGCTAAATTTTCTGAACAATTACAGTTACAAGGCCATTCAAGAACTTTTGAAATATTTTAATACAAAATCTACTGTGTCAAGTATTGTAATGTCATAGGAAAAACTGCCTGCAGACATTTTAAAAAATGCTTAATGTCATTTATGGACCACTTATCATATTTCACAGTGATGATGATGATGATAGCTGTGAATCTGAAGGTTTTTCAGTATCACAAATATAAAACAAAAATTTTCCAATTAATGGAATTTGTAAAAATATGCGGATTAGTGACAACAAATGAAGATGACAAAACAGATGTTTTCCATTGCAATGACCATGCTCCAATTATCAATAAACTAATGGATGGCAAAATTTGTAGTATGATTTTAAATCCAGAAAATAATGCTACCAATAGTGAGGAAAGTGACAAACAGGTTTTAGAGAATGAAAAGGTTTCAATCGACAGTTTAATGGAAATTTTCAACACAGCAATTAAAGGACTTGAACAATGGAGCTTTGTAATTGAACAAGAAACTTTGTGTATTTGTAAAATTAAAGAGAAGGCGGAGGAGGGGGAAGGAAAAGCTTAAATAACTTGCATTGAAAAAAGTTTAATAAAGCAAACAAATAATGAGCTTTATTTGAAAATTTTGATGCTTTTAAAGTCATAAAAGTTTATAATTTCCTAAGCAAGTATTACACATTTTTAATTTTATAATATCTACATGCTATCTTACTCAGTTTAAACTTATAATCTGAAACACTAAAATTTCTGATATCAGACTTAGTACTACAGTAGGAATTTCAGTTTTACACCTTCCATTAGCTATGAAAAAGAATATTTGTTTGTTTGTTTGTCTTTTATAGGTTTATATCCAGGCAAACTTTTACATCTAATTACATAGTTCCCATTTTCCAGAAGTGACCAAAATGACTTCTGGAAAATGGGTCTTATGAAATGAGAAGCATCTTGTTGCATAAGACTTCTCCAGAAGTGGAATATTTTGCCATGCAGACTAAAGTTTACATTAATCAACTGCAATGTAATTGATTAATAATTGAATTACAATGTAATTGAATTACTTATACTAATAATTATAATAGTGAAGTAAATGGCAAAGTCTAATTGCTTTAATGTAATTACATTAAAGCAATTAGACTTTGCCATTAGAATCCTTCATTTATAATGTATTATAAATGAAGTTCAGAATTCTTCATTTATAATGTATTTATAAATCATGCAATTACAATATAATCATATAATAAATTATGCTATTACAATGTAATTATATAATAATCATACAATTACAACATAATGTACATAACAGTATGACAGTCAATAACAACAACATGATAATATAATGCTACACCATAATTGTAATTAAATTTCAAGTTTACTTTACATTATAATTTACACTGTAGTTGCAATTACATTATTTTTATGATTACAGAAAGCAATTACATTCCAAATGTAACAACAAAGTAATTGCATACTCTAATTACAATCACATTTTGTCCAACTATGATGCACAAAATTCATCATGTGGGACATTTTCACGCTAGTGTATGTATTAGGTACTTGAGACACGACTGTATATTAAAATATATCTATATATATATATATATATATATATATATTAAATGATTTGAAATGAGTGTTAATAAAAGACAGACCCATTAGCTTAAAAAGTTAAAACACAAACATTAAACCTACTTATAGAACATTTTTAATAATTTAAATACTATTATTTCAAAATACTTACATCCATAAAATGCTCTAGATATGATCTGTTTTCTCATTGTGTCACACAATATTTGAATTGATTGTCTACAAGAATTTTTATGAAAAAAAAAAACAATTAAATATTTTTCATGAACTAAACATTCAAGACATTTTACTGACACAGAAAGAATTTAAAAACCAAATATGCAAGATATAAACATAAAGAAATGCAGTTTTTTCATGATAAACATAAAAGAAAAATCTTTTAAAGATTCAGTTATTTACCATAATCTCAGACACATAATATTTTTAATTTTCCAATATTTAACATTTTTTCAAAGCAGCTGAACAACAGATTAGGATAATGATAACCTTTTAAATAACTGAAATTGAACAAAAATTCAGTATGCGGTTTAACAAGAGATTAACTTTTTAAATATTTTCATAAGAATCCCCCCCCCAAAAAAAAGACATTTCCCATTTTAGTCAACTGAATCATAAAATTCAGTTTGTACTTTCAGATATCCAAAGCAAGACTTAGGATATACACTGGAGGAGAAAATTAAAAGAGCAACTGAAAAAAAAAACTCATGAACTTTTGAAGGATTGCTAAGAACATGAAACTTGCCCAAAATTTTTATTTTATCACACCTGACATATCTTAAACATAGAATTGCATATTTTTTTAATAATAGTAAGCGTAATTCAAGTGTAATAAGGATAAGTTGATGTTACAAATTTTTATAAATACAATCAAAAAATTAATAAGGTGCATGGTCACTCTTGACTGAAATATAAGTCTTACAACAATTTTTATGCTCTATATTGGAATGTAAATTAGTTCCTGTGGTAACAAAGGCTGTTGTTTACAATGAATAGCACCCTGAAGCTCCTGGAGAATATTAGGTAGGCGTTGCAATGAACTAGTCACTAATGCAGAGCAATGAGGATTAGAATTATAGCCCATTAGGATGAAATTATTACAAGCTACATTTCTACACAACTTGACAGAAAGATCAAGAACCTCATCTCTATACATTTCAGCATTCATAACTACATGGGTAAAAATGTATATAGTCAATGAGGCCATTCAAAATTCTGGTTTGGGTGGCCATTGAAAATTATGGCCACCCATGCCATGATTTCACCACCTTTGTACTGATGCTTTTCATAGATGTTTCATACACCATGGATGTATGTTTTGTTCTCTCAAGATTGTAGCATGTCTGAAAAATTCTCTCCAAATAAAGACAAACCTCATCAGTAAATAGAACCTGATTCCAGTCCACAATACCAATCATAATGATATCTGCACTACTGCAATTCGACACATGTTCCAAAATCAATCAAAATAAGAAGTAAAGAATTAGGTGCATGGCACAGAGGATTTTTCATCTTCTTTTAATTAAAACTTAAAAAATTATATCCATACGGTAGGTTAAAACCCTAAATTGAATATAAAGCTTAAAAGGAATAGATTCAATTAAAAACTCAATAGTTTCATCAAATAACTCTAAAATTCAATTATACCGTACACTGCAGTTTAAATTCTAAAACAAAGAACACCGAATGAATCATCAGTTTTTAAATAATCATGTGCCCAGAAAGAGAGGTGATAAATAATCGAACAGATGGGCTTGTAACACCATCTTTTAGCAAGATCAACAAATATTTCTTAACACACTCCCCAACTAAACTCTTATAAGAGTTCATTTAACTGAATTATATAATCATATCCATAAATCACTTTTCAATAATACACAAGTATTTAGATAAATTAAAAACTTAACAAAAAACAGGTCATACATAGCATGTATTAATTAATTAAATGTTAATACTAAAACTAACAAAATGAATAAAAGTTATTAAATATTTTATAAACTTAACTAATGATACTCAGTTTAATCATTAAGTAAGAAAATTAAATGTATAATATAACGAAATCTCTAGAGTTCAAAGTCTATCTGAAATTTAGAGTTCAAAAGGATGTAGATGTTAAGCAGTATATTTTAAGGTCCCATTATCAGCATTTAGATTTACTAATCGGAGTTAACCATCACATCCAAGCATGACTTTAACAATTCTGCCAAGTTTCCACAACATTTTGTTTTTACTGTTTCCTTCCAATGAATTATTCTTTCAGTTCTGGTTGAAATTTGGGATTTTTCAAGGAGTCGGCAGTTCTAAGTTCTAAAATATATGGCTAACAACTGTTTCAATAACAATCCTTGATAACATTTTCTCTTTATGAGTGTTTGTCTTGTTGTTTCTTACCGATAATTCTTGACAAAGAATAGTTTGAATTAGTTTGTCTAATATTTAGGAAGTGCATTAGAGATCTGGGTTGTGGTTCATCATATGCATTATAAATGTAGCTTAGAGGTCTTAAATTAAGACTTGGCCCTACCTTGATAAGTAGTGTAAACATTTCTTTGAAAGTCAACAATGCTTTCCCTACCTTTTTTTTTTTAAACATTCTTTAATAAAACTCTCCCCACCATGCAGCTCACTCCATTATAAACTTCCATTGGACTCTTTCATTCGTAATAAAAGTCATGAATTTATCATCTTCTAAAACACTGGAAAAATTCGCAACGTCTTTCTTTTAAAAGGCCTTGATGTTGTCAGAGCATATGACTTTGCAGTCTTCTCTTCTGCTCAAAAATCTATAAAATGCAAGTAAAAAGGGCTCTGTTGATTATATTTGACACTAATTCTATTTTCTCCGGTTACTGCACATATGAAGAAAACAATAGAGGATTTTCAAGTTGCTTTAGAATTCTAAACATAGACTGGTCTGGCAAAATCAAACCAACAAATTGTGTATGGAAGTGATTCTTGGATTCTGTTGTAAGGTAAAGGTGCTATTATCTGGTCTTCTGGCTTGGCTAAGTATTTCTAACAAATCAAGGAACTTTTTAATGTTTTTTGACCAACTGGCAGCCTTTAGGAATTCAGAAATGAGATATATATTTGGCTAAAGTTGAAGCAGTTCCTCTGTGCATTACCTTTTTGTTGTTTTGGGGTAGGACAGATAGCTAGATGCTTATTACCTAGTGAGAAGTCAGAAAATTCTGATCTTCCTCTCAATCTCATGATTCCCTTTTCATGAATGTATTCATGAATTGCCCAAAAAAGAGAATTTTTTCAATCAAATTACCTTCTTTATGATACCTGTACTTCTTGGTACTCGGCAAAAACTTCTTTTTCTCTGACCTCATTCAAAAATTTTCTGCTTTTTAATATCACTAAAATTTTTTCAATTTTGCAATGAAATATGCTGCTCAGGTGGTGATTTTATCTAAGTTGCTATATTTCGATATGTTGAAGAGATCATTTGTACTTTCAGCTGCACATTCAAAACTGATGTATATCACTGGATTTTTTTTTTCTTACCTTTTGGTATTCCAGTTTGTCTTTATCTATTATTTATACCAGTTTTGGCCAAAGAATGAGAAAGAATTGAAGCCACAGAGGACCTTGTATCCAAATGGGTCTGTTTATAGCTTAGAGATCTTCATTCCCCAAGATAGGGATCTGCAGGGTTGTTGATAGCAGTCGTGAAGTCAGATCAATTTTTGGATTTCTTTCACATGATTCTTGACAAAAGTTTCAGGCTGTTTTTTTATCCGAAATAAGTAATTGTTGAGTATGTCCAAAAAAACTACTGGGATTTTCAATTTCAATACTTTCAAAACATTGCTGCTTTATTTGGTTGATAACAATGCCCCCATTAATTCTAGCCATGGTAAAGTAAACAATTTTAGTGGGGCTATACTATTTTTTGAAGCGACAAAGGCAGTTTTAATTTCTTTATCATTCTTTGTGAAATGTAAGTATGTGACTGTACAGTAGGCTTTTATACTTGCATCTGAAAAAGGTTTGAGAGCATGGAAAAGTAATGACAGATGGAGAATTCAGCCATCTTCATTTCATTTTCCCCATTGAGAGAAAAAATCTTCAAGCAGCAGTCCTCCCAGTTTATTTGTAATGAACAAATTTTCTGCATTAAAATTTGTTCATTACAAATAGATATAATTGCCTATGCAAATTAAGCATTTTATTTCTAACAGTGAAAGGTCCTAAAATTCCAACTGGATTGGGTAACCAACGTAACACTTGTAGAAGAAATTTTTTTGTTTCAATTGATTTAGACGTAAAGGAAAATAGGTTTTGAACAACAAAATAATAGTAAATCTTTTCAACTATCCCATACCGTACAGAAGATCTTAAATGGAAAATTTTCTCTATTAAAAAACTTCAGGATTTTCTTGTGAAACATATCTCCAAGCTTCACTCTCAGTTTCGACAGAAAGCTGATACATCTTATTCTGTCCTTCATCTCTGACCATCTTTATATTCATCATCTGTTCAAGGTCTCAGTGGTACTCTCCACTGAGAGAAATATCTTTCTACATTGCTGACTTCCCAACCTGCACTAGCAGCCATAGTTCCTTATTAGCATGTTACGCAGATGACATGACATTAGCGGTCAAGTCTGCTAACATCCACCATGCCATACACAAACACCAGGAGAATATTCCTTCCATTGAAGACTGGTGTTGCAGATGGAAAGTCTGCATTTACTTCTCATAAAAGGTAAAACATATCCTATGCACCTAAAAAAACTACTAAAACATTTCAATGTGCCTGTTCCAACTGCCAAGAAAGCTAAGGACATAGGTGTTATCATTATGCCAATTATAGGCAAATACTCAAAGCTAGATCTGAGGAGGACTTCAAAAGTAAAATATATAAAATTTAAGAAAATATAAAGCACTGAGGAAAAAATATCTTAGAAATGCAGTTTAGTAAATGAGCCCAATTCTGACTTATGCTTCTCTAGCCTGGGCAGCTGCTAAAAATTTGGATATTAACAAGCAGCAGGTTATTACAGTACAAAGTCCGAAATCTGGACGTCCATTATCCAGAATGATCTAAAATCCAGACCTCAAAAGTACAAACATTTTTATTTATTTATTTTTTAATTAATGCTTTACGCATGCACATTTGATTTTCCCTTCCATAATAAAACATGTGGAGATTTTCCCTTAAAAATTCCGATTCATAATTTCACTTAGGCACTAAATAAAATACCTTGTTAT